ATTTACTGGCATTGTCGCTCGGACTCTATGTCCAGTCACCAGGATGCCTGACACTTGTCTGATTCTTGAACTCCACCATCAGCCAGGTTCTAACTCCCATAATGACAAGCTGAAAACAATGGAGCTGACTGTGTGTCGCCACAAATAGCTTCTAGTACAGTCAGCTGTAGCTGGCACAGGCCACTCCGAGCCTTATTATTGCCTTGTTGTACACACACGCAGTCCTATCACAAAGAGTCATGACAATAAATTGGCATTAATTGGGGTAAAGAACAAAGAAAACAGTTAAAACCAGAAAAAGCAAAAAAGAGATATAAGACAGCAGAGATGAAAAGTAGAAGAAGAAAGTAACGGTAAAGAAAAACAGTGAACAGCTCAAAGCGATACGAGGTAGAGAAGGAAATGTAGGCTCCAGTCGGCATCACAGTCAGCCTAGAGAACAGCAGAACACCACTGCTCTCTCTGCTAACCTGAGGTGGAGGTAAAACAACAATGTGAAGAGCAGAAAAGGCAGCAGACTAAATTAGTTCCAGAACACAAAATGCCCTTAAATCCTTGATCCAGATCAGATCCGGATCATCTTTTAGGGTATAACATGATATGATTTCGATATGATTGATATATGATTTTTTTTATTTTGCCCATGATAAAGATGGGGAATTTATTTATTTATTTTTTGTCATTATTTTTGTGACCTTGACCTTTGACCTTTTTCACCCAAAACCTACTCACTTCTAGTGTTGGTCCCCACCAATGTCTGTACTAAGCATGTTGATGATCCATCCAGGTGTTTGTCCATAATCCTGCTAACCAACACTCACACAGAGGTAAAAACATGACCTCCTTGGTGGAGGTATCGATGGGTGGACGGTTAGAGAAGCCACTGACTGATATGGTCAGGACAGGCTGTGGCAGTCCGGTGCAGGTCTTGATAGCTGGAGTCATTTTCCCCTGGGAAAGTTGTGCTAATAAGAGAGTGGTGGGGAACTGTAAAGATGGAAGAACAAAATGTTGTGGTCTTCAAAGGTCCCTGGTTTCTCTGGGCTCTCTGGCTGCTTTCCATTCTATCATCTTTGTATGTATATGTATTATTATGCAACAGTAACAAACAATGAGCTAACCAAATCTCAGCCCGCGCTAAACCCGCGAGGCTTGTTGTTGTAGCTGATCCGTCTGCCTCCTTCCTGGTGGGCTTACTCTGTTTATTCACTGGTTCTCTTGTTTAAATTAAGCCGTATGTGATTCAAGCCAAGCAAAGAAACAGTTACATCATGAATTGTTCTTCCAGCCAACGACTGGACAAATCAAACCTCCTGCTTCAGAGCTCCAGGTTCATGGAGCAACATGGCATCTGCAGGGAGTGATTGTGTAACATCAGACATAGAGGTGTTTTTAGGGAAAATGTGTCACCTTTGACCTTTTGTGAATATTTAATAGAGATTGCGAATGCAATCGATACAGCATACATTATCATTTAAACTCTCCCTAATATGTGCAGTTAAAAGAACAGTGAAACAACACAGCACAAGACTGTGAAGTAACACAGCGTCTCAGATACAGTTACCTGAGTACACGCTAACCACACTCATCATTTAAATAGTATCTACACACAAGTCATTAAAATCTAATGTATTTGATGTTATTTAATCTGAGAGTAGAACTTGGAATTCTAAACTCCTGTCTGAGGTAACCTTCCCCGTTTTGCACAGCCCAGAGCTGGACCTCGATTTTGACCATCTGCATTAAAGGCCCAAAAAGAAAGAAAACGATCATTTTACTGACTTGCACTGAAAAGTCTGAAATGCTTTGAAAACAGGATTAGATCTAATGAAATTTGTTCAAAGTTGTATTAGCTGTGTGTTGCATGCATTTATTAGAGGTCAGTCTTTTCAATGTGGAACATCAAGTTTTGTTTGAGCTGCATATGTGCTGACATGTTGCAGTTAGTAAGAGTATAAGCATCTGCTTTAGTAAACAGACAGTAGGGGACTTAATATCCCATAATACTGAAGCTGTTTTCAGACAGGATGCGGTATGTCCTGCGCTCGCCATGGAAGCGGTTTCTTCACAGGGGAGGAGGGCGCACACATGCAAATCGTGCTTCTGTTGGGCGCCAGTTGCTAGATGATCAAAAAACTTTCCAGGAGGTGATTAGCAGATATTAACTAGTTTTTTGAGCAGCGGACTTGGATGCATGATGTATCTGTCTACATGTAAATGAAAAGTTCTGGCTTTAGTTGAATTGAGGAGGAGGAGACGAGCTGCAGCAAAGAAGAAGAGGATGTGGTTCCGTCAGAATCAGCTTCTTTTCCATGTTCTTTGTGGACTGTCAGGTTCTCTGCAATTGGACGTGTCAAGGTGTTGTCACAGAGCGCTGTGCCCAACTAAAATTTTTTGGCACACGGGATGGCACATGTGTCCTTGCAGGGCGCTGAGCTCGGCGCAGTGCAGATACGTTCTTGCACTGTGGAACACACAGAAATGAATGGTTTTATTAGCGAAGCGCAGCACCCACAATCTGGAAACAGCTTTATTCTCCTCTTGATTTATATACTGACTATATATTTATACTTTTTTTTTTTTACTTAGAACAGTACTTTATGTGTATTTGCATCAGCTGGGTTAAGCCACACAGACTGGATTTCTCAATGTAGAATACTCCAGAAAACATGGATCCCTTACATTAATGCTTTATTTACAAACAAACACAGGAATTTCCAGACTAAAATATCCAGCAGTCACTAAATGTGTTAATTTAGCTAAGATAATTTTCTAAACCATTTTATAGGTCTAATAGCTATTAGTTGTGTGTTGTAATTGCTGATGTTCCTCTTTAACCTGGTGGTCACTCCTGTCATTCTCTTGCTCTTCATCTTCTCCTCATCCCTGTCACCCAGCTCTGGACAGAACCTGCTTGACAGGCATGTCTTAATGCACAGTGGGGTCCAGGGTCCAACCACCCAACAATAGTCATTAAACTTGCAGTCGTTGAGTTTAAGCCAGAGCAAGTCGGTTAAGTTTTAGAGGCTTCATGTCAAAGAAAGCAGGGCCGTTCACTGGCCTGGCACTAATGTAGGACAGTCTTTCTCTTTCTGCCCTTTAGTCTCTCTGCATGATAATAGAAGTGCTGTTCATTGGATTATCTCATAGTCAGGAAAGACAGGAAATTGTGCATGTCAAGGAGCAGCGTACTGCGGAGACAGTGCTCCTCTAGAAACATGTAAACCAAAATCAAATGGCCTTTAATCAGGATGTGAGTCTGAGAAGCGATGTTCTTATGGTCTGAGATGGTGCTGTGTATGCCAGAGGGCCTGACAGTGTATTTTTCATAGATGGGACAAGCCAACTCACCTGAAAGTAATGCATCACTGTCAGTTTGAGTCTCTATATAGTGCCCTAAAGTCCCCACATGATATAACAAGGTAATGTCTATGGCATGTACTCTCTGTACATACTGTGCATGTACTGTATGTGTGCCTGTCTGAGGGACAGATGGATTTTCTTACCAGTTTCTCTGCACAGTCACACTGTCTGAAGAAGCTGCTGCATTTTTTATACTGACAGTGGCTCAGTTCTCAGACAGACAGCATGAGCAGCCGGTCAGAGTGGAGTGACTCTGTTAATGCATATTTAATTAAGGTAAGCTGACCTCACTGTCTTTACATCAGAATGCCACTTCTCTGATCATCAGTCAGCCTTTTGTCTCAGGCACATATATGTATGTATATATACAGTATATATATGTATATACACACACTCACACACACACACAAACACAAAATGAATATTTGGATAGTTGCACTGAATCCAATCAACTGACAAAATTCTTAGTTGGGTACAGCCCTACAGAAAAGTACAGTAATGAAAAACATCTGCAGCAACTAAGAAGCTCAAATGGAAAAACGTTACTGTAAGTGGTTACTGCTGTGTGTTTATATGAACAGTGGTTTGTTACAGGGAATTCTGCCCCTTCACAACCACAGATTAGGATATCCTGTATCAGTGAGGCAATGTTTCCTGAGCTGGTGAAGACTTTTAACTGTGTGCCTCCACCCTGTATCTCCACCTGCAAGTGAGGCAACTTTCTGTGTCAGCCAGGGGCCCTGTTGTCATTACTGGATAATGGAGATTTAGCACTGTCCTGGATCTGCTCGCCTTTATATAGCTGCTCCTCTTGTTTCATTTTGTCCCTGACCCAAATACACACACACACATCTAATGATTCCACCACAGATGAAAATCAGAGCATCGACACTTAAACTGTTGATGGTGACACTTAATGGAGCTGGTAAACTGATACTAACAAATTGCCGTTGCAGTCTGATGGAGTTTATTCTCTTACATTTAAAATGATTTCCTCTGGTCAGATTCAGTGTTCCACACTAAGTCAGTCACTTAGAGTTTGACTGGTCTTCGCACCTCTGTTCATCAGAAACACAGTTTGTGTTAAGATTCTTGTAGCTGCACATCTGTCAACGTTCTGGTTTAATCCTGCAGAGGGCAGCATTTCTGAACACTTAGCCCATCAGCATGTAGAGACTGGGTTTCTTCAGCAGCAGTCAGAATGGCAGTTCAGTGGGGGAAACCAAAAGTAATAAATACTGTAATAATAATGTTGTTAAAATGACCACATTGATCAGTGTTGTTACTTGCAGGAGACATAGATATCCTGTAAAATTTAAAACCGCTTACTTTATTATAAGTTTCAAATTAAATGCCTTTGATTTGGCATTATCTGAAATGCACATGGTGGAAATCAAACTACAGGTATAAAGTCTATGCAGACAGACACAGTCATTGCGCAGTGTGACATTTTTCAGGTTTACTGTTATTTGTTCTTTGTAGAATGAAAGTTTCTGTCAAAGTGTCTTGTCTTGTCAGATTAGTTATGTAGGCTGAGGCTGATTCCACTGATTTGATGGACACAGTTATTCTGATGTTTTATCAAAATACGTTTCAAGTTTCAAGCCCTATTTTTCTTTCTTCTTTCTGTTTTCCAGATGTTTTCAACATCTTCTCATTAAATAAGACGGAGAGGAGGAGGAGGAGGGCACTCAAATGGATACTTTCCGAAATTACAGTTCTGCTCACAACAAGGACACGATGACTAACAGTCCTTTTGGAAATGCTGCATATTTGTGGGGTGACTAAAATGTAAAGTGTTGTGAAGAGCGCTGTTCATTGTTCTTTCACAACCAGCAAGAACAACAACAGAAAGCCAATGGGCAAGTAAAAGCCTATACACCACAGACCAGAAGATCATACAGAGCGACTGTTCTTCTGCCTTCCTGGCCCAGAGATGAGTGTTTCTGAGGCCAGTGAGAGCTTCACTGTCAGGGAGAGAGGTGGACCCAGCATGAGGCTAACTCTCCACAGTGCTGGAGACCACAATGGGAATGCTTTCCCAATTTCCTCTTCCTCCTCCTCTTCCTCCTCCTGTCTGGGGGAGTCATCTCCTGAGTCCCTGCGGAGTCTGAGCAGCCTCAGTGGGGACCGGCCTGACAGCCTGCTGGACTATGACATGTTTGAGGTCACCTTGATGACCAAAACGAATGAAATGACAGATGTGGTCATTTCAAAATGGGTGCCAGAAGAGGACGGTAAACAAGATGAGAATGATGATGTCTCCGTGGGAAACATACAAAACGAGCTGTCAGAATCCAATGACAACTCTGTTTACCTAGACGCCAGCAGCGGTGAATACCTCCGGGACACCTGGAACGATAACAACAACTTGACACTGGCCCTGTCCCTGACGACAAACAGCGGTAACCATGGAAACAATGCTGACTTCAGCTGTGGAAGTGGAAGAAGGGATGGCTCCACAAGCCCAGACTCAGATGCAACTGAAATCCCTGTTGATGATGATGATGATGATGACAATGAAGAGGCTTTGTTTCTCTCTGTGAGCTCTGACATGGGTGTGCAGAGAAGCAACATGACCCTCACTAGCTCAAACAGTCAGTCCAACAACGGCACCCATGCTGTGATGAGTGCGCTCCACACAGAGGCCACTGAGGCTGTGAGTGTACCTGATGATGACAGGCCGCAGCAGCTCCCTGTGGACCAGACAGAACCTCCAGCTTCTGAGGACGTCTGTGAAGCCACCCAGATATCATCATCTTGTTCCTTCTCTACCAGTCCAGCACAAGATTCTAAAGAAGTCACATCTTCTCCTGAGAAAGCTGAAAACTCCAAACCCACCCATCCTAGCACCAGTCAGCCGGCCAGAGCGGCAAACCCCAAGCCAACCGCTGCTACTTCAACAGCTCTCAAGACAGTAGCCTCCACTGGCATCAAACAATCCAATCAGGAGGCAAAGAAAGTTTCCAAACTGGACCTAAAAAATGTCAAGGCTAAAGTTGGATCATGGTCCACACTGTCCAAAGCACCCAGCAAGGTACTGTAGTGTTACTCAAAAGCTTAAAGAGCTGGTATGATGGACAAACAAACAAACAAAACTTTGAGATGCCTCAGGGTGATGGCAGAGGTCCTCCTGTCAGATTATAAAACACCATCTCTACTGTTTTTAAGTTTTTTAAATCTTTGAACCTGAGCCTCAAGAGTGAGCAGTGTTGAAACTGTGGCAGTTGTTACATCATACTCAGATACATGAGGATAAGCCCACCCTTTGCACAGCGCTATGCTGAGAAACACTCAGCTAAATGTAAATGGTGGTGCTAAAACTAAGCTAGCCGCCTCCGGCTGTGTTTGAGAAGTGTTACGCTGTTAGGAATCTTCGATTGATTCTACCATTCTGAAACATCCAGCTGAAGTCTCAAGTCTGCAGGGTCGTCTACTTCTTACTCAGGGTCACATTTATTAGGTCCTATTCTGATTGGCTGGGGGTGAAGATAAGTCATCACCTCCAGCCAATCAGAGTAGGTGTTCACGAACAATGTAAACATTATGTTAATAACATGTGAAACAGCCCACTAAGGGACACAGGGGAACCTGGCCTGTTTGTACAGAAGGATTCAGAGAAATGTGAACAATTTTGGGTGAATAGAATGTCACAGATATGTTTAAAATACACTCAGTATTTATAAAAAGGTTTCCAAAAGGGCCATAATACCAGCTCTTTAAATGTACTTAGTATTGTACAGCTGTCTTCTGTCTTACATTTAATGTTTCTCTGCTACTCAGCAGAACAAATCTGCTCCAGCAAATGGAAAGAAAGCTGTTCCTAGGAAGGAGGACGCACAGACTGGGAATGAGGATAAAAGACAAAGGTCATCTGCAAGTCCAGTTAAAGTGGCCGTGGTGCTGAAACCCATCAGAGGAAAGAGTATACTGAAAACCAGCCACAAGACAGCAGCCAATGACTCTGCTCAGCCAGAGAAGAGGAGTGCAGCCATTAGTCGAGCACTCTCTGCTTCCACCAGCTCCCTGGGGTCTGAGATGAATGAAGAGGGATTCCTGCACACTCCCAGGAAGGCTGTCCAGGAAGTGCCTGAAAAATGTGGAATAAGTGAGAGTGTGGAGACAACGCATCCAGTAGGAGACACTGCTGGAGAGCCTGAGGAGGACCAAAGAGAGGGGACTGCAGAGACTTTAATGACAGAGGTCGTCGTGGAGAAACCAAGAACTCACAGCGGGGTGAGTACTGTGAGCATGTTCAGGTGTATTTAAACTGGGCCTCAGGCTTATGTTTTCAGTCCTAGTTGATGTAGTGAAATGCCATTTTGATGTCTAATGCCAGCAAGGATCCAGAAACAGCTCTGGCTTGAGATGCAAGTTATGCAACACAGTCTTTGTGAAATGAAGTGCTGCCATCCACGGGAACACATCATCTGTGATTTAGTCTGGTGCTGCAGTGTGTGTGTGTGTTTTCCTTTGCATATATAGAGAAATGCTCAGCGTCGCTATTTTTAATGCCAGCTCAGATTGTAACAAACCTTTTTTTATTTTTAAGTTTTGTAGCTAAATGGAAAATGGCAGTCAGGGTATGTGCTCAGTTTAACTCATGACTGGGAAATGAACAGACTGACACAGTTCAGCCCTAAGCCTTGCTGTTGCTGAGCATCTTTCTCACAATGGGAAGAGAACAATCACTAGCACTTTAAAGTGTACACTGTGTTTTAAATGAGGGAGTGGTGCAGTATGTCGCAGTACATGTGCACTCTACCTCTGGTATGTGTTATTAAAAATCCAGTGAGCCGGTGACAGGTTTAAAACCTGCCCCAGCCTCAGGGGTTGTCTCAGCACAAGTTGTGTTTCACACAGGTCAGCTGTACTATACACAAATACAGTGCATGTGTGTTTGTGCTTCAGTCTTTATACCTAGAAGTTGTGATAAAGGTCAAACAGAGGCCATATTTACACTCATCAAGATGCACAAAGATTCTGCACAGCTGGTTGTTCCATCCTCAATGACTTGATGGCATTCCCATTTGTGGTAGTGTTTTGAAGACCAATTTTAACAGAATTTCTTTCATCATCAAATGATGTTCACTGTCCATCCTGTACAGTGTAATTTTACCAAACAGGGTATCCTTTAGGCCTAGATGGCCTGTCAGCATGTCACCACATGATTCAGTGTGTACTGGTATGCTGCAGTAATCCACGGGCTCAGCTTCTTGGCTCGGGTGAAAAGTCAAGGAGGCTGTAAGCTGCTGTACAAGAACACTGAAGTGTTTTATCTTTTCTGAATAAGCTCTGTGTGGCTCTGTGATTTCTGATGAGAAGGTGGAGGTGGGGGTCACAGGGGAAAAGTCCTTCTGAATGAAAGTACCAGTGTCAGGAGTTTGTTCTGAAAATGTCCTGACCCGAGTTGACATACAAGAATGAATATGTGAGCACTCTCTAACTTCTTCCGTCACTTCCCTGGCTCCCAGACTGCTCACAGCTGAGCAGTAACGACCACCAGCAGGTCCAGTGAGTCACGTCTTTCCCCTGAAAAGACCATCATCCACAACCTCACTTCATGTGAGCTGGTGTTTCAGAGTCAGAGGGGGAGAAACACAGAGGGGTGGCAGTAAAACAGAGAGAAATAACTTGTCCTGGTCATAGCCAGGAATTTCAAAGGGAGTGTACAGCACAATAGCAACTTATTTTTTTGCCCCTCTTGTGGTTGCAGCACACTCCCAATTTTCCCTCCTCACTCTCTCTCTCTCTTTTCCTCCTCCCCCTCTGCCTTATTCACACACTGTCTCACTCACTCCTCCCCTCTGCTCCTTCAGTGCCTTCCTCTCAGTTCACATTTCTGACTGAGTGGGGAGCATGGCTAACACCATGGTCTCGGTGCGCAGCTCCGAGCTGGGGCCCCTCGGCTGGAACACTGTCACTAAGCATCAGCTCTTCTTACAGAAAGTCTCCTCAAAACTGGGGCCCAGGCAGCAGGGGAAAGGCAGCAGAGTGGACAAGGCCTCTGGACCAGGCTTAGCGGCTGAACCTCGAGGACAGGGGAGCCCCGGGCCCAGGCAAGCCCGAGGTGACGGCTCTGTGCTGGGACAAGGTGGACAGACTGCTGGGGGTGGATCTCCAACAAGAGTGAGGCAGACCCTGAGTCATGGCCAGGGTGAGTTAACATGGTTTCTGTCTGAAACATAAACGTGAGCAATTTCAGTGCATGCACATTTACTCAGTGAAACCTGAAATGTAAATATGCAACAGCGTGCGGCACGGGACTGTATGTCTGCACTGCTCAGCAAGACAACTCTCAGCTTCTCTCTCTGTCAGGCATATACTGTAGACTCCTACTGGCAGTCAGTGTGTGTGTGTGTGTGTGTGTGTGTGTGTGTGTGTGTGTGTCTGTGTGTGTGTGATGGACAAAAAAGCTCAGCTTTGTCTCTGCAGCAGACTCAGGAAATGAGCAGGCTGACGCTGCAGAGCAGTGCGTTAAAATGCCTTCGACATACCTCTACACCACTCACTTTCACTCACACACACACACACACACACAGTTATGGGGCCCTGAACACACTGTCCATCCCAAGTTGCTGATGGACAGGCATGTACTGTTATCTGCTAGCTGGTGATAAAGGTGTGTGTTGCATTAGAGCAGAACTCTCGATTTCTTCAGCTCTTTGTCTGTAACAGTTCACAGAGTACAGCTGGACACTTGCACTGTGTGTGTGTGTGTGTGTGTGCATCCACAGAGATTTTACACCGCACCTCCCTGTTTGTCTTCAGAGGAAGTGAAAGTTTCCTGAAATTTTCCTTTGTCATCCACTTTTTGTTGTTTTTATTTTTTTCTCAGAGGAATTTCAGACCAGTGTTTGTGTGCAAGTGTGTATATCAGAGTGATTTGTGTTGAAGGGTAGAATGGAGAGGGCTGTTGACGTCATGCCAGTCGCATTTTGACACTGTAGCCCGTAGCCTGTCTTTGTGTTAGTAAATATAGTGTATGTGTGTGTAACTTCAAAATCACTGAGCTGCAGTGTGTCGTTTACATAGCAGAAAATACCCAAGTGCATATTTTGTGTGAATGAAATGTATTTTTGTGTGTGTGTGTATGCGCATGGTACTACTCCCATTGTGGGGACCTAAACCTACACTCACATGGTGAGGACTCAGCTGAGTGATTCATGTAAATCACTGAATTTTAAGGTGATGACTTGGTTTACAGATAGCATTAAGAGTTAGGCTTAGCCCAGTAGTGGTTATGGTTAAAGTTAAGCTAAATCATATGAATGAACCTAAGTCGATATAAAGTCCCTATGAGGAATGGAAACAAACGTGTGTAAAACCAGATCTTTCTTTTTGTAAAGGTCACCGATGGACAAAACCTGCTGTGTGCTCTTCGCTGAGCCACAGGAACCAGCAGTTGGCTCTTGACCTCTGTCTCCATCAGTGGATTCCTTTGTGTTTGTCTGCCTTCGTCCACTTTGAATTTGGTCCTGACTTGATTATTTCATCGCGGCTCTTTTCTCTGAACCTTTGCTTTTTCGTTTCAGGATTAGCCAACACATTCAGTGTTTCTCCCTGAACCCAGATCTGATAGTTTTCTGTAAATGGTTAAATCTACTTGTCAGACAAAGGTAATTGACCTAAATGACCAATCCCAACTTTATTAGGGGGTCACTTCAGGGTCAGGTTTTGCTTTAGCTCAGCTGCACTTTTCAGCAGATTGTCTCCTGGCTCACTGTTACGTGCACATCTCTCTTCACTTAACAGTTCAACATAGGCCATACCCACATGTAGTTATCCTCCCTGTTTATGAGTTTAAGGCTCTATTTGCTTATGTTACCATGTATCTAATGCACAGCACACACTACGCTTCCCCTTGACAAGGATGTTTGAATAGGTTTAACCATCCAACCAAACAGTGATCCACAGCAGTGTGCCACCAGTTTTCTGTCTAACCAGTATATTAAGGAGGGAATATAAGACGCTCTGTGGTTTCTTCTCAAAACACGACAGAGGAACTAATAACTAGTGTAAAATGTTATTTACAGTTTTTACCGGTATATATTTCAGTTATGGTAGCAACTAGAGGACTCCAGGGTTTGTGTGTGAGCCCATAATCTTGTATTCCTTCCATCACTGCTGACCATGTTTGCATTTTTCCAGGCAGCTGTTACTTTCTGTTCATGTCTATGTCAGTCAGCTGAGACAAAGATAGATAAAGCATCTTTAGCGTTCTGGATTTTTTGGCACCACACATTTTGGAGCTGTTTTATCAAATCACTATCTTGTTATGGTATAAAAAGACAAGAAAACCAACAGGCAAACATTGTGCTGTGGGAGAGAACATGTGAATTGTTGGTTTTGTTTGGTCCTGGGTTCGGGTTAGAGTTAGGCATGTGCTCACTGAACTATCCAGACCAGTGTAGTTAGACAATAGTGTATACATGTGTGTGTCTGTGTATCAACAGTACGCATGAGGCATGTCTATGGTGAGCCAGCTCTTACACCTAAAATTGATTTTGTAGGTAACAGAATCCAGCTGCTCCCCCTCTGGCTGGCATCTCATCAGAACTGAAACCAAATGAAGCCAGATGTTTCCTGCTGGCTTCAGTCGCAGTGCAAGCTTCACTGCTGATCTACCTTCATCAGCAGAGACTGTGTGTGTGTGTGTGTGTGTGAGGTAATGTAACTAAAGTGAACACATGTAAACATTTTTCCATCTCTTTAAAACAACCCTTCTCCACTTTTAGAGGCACAACTCAAGTTTGTAGAAGCTGAGAGAAAGTTTGAATGAAACCTAAACAGTCCCTGTAGGTCAGTGTGGTTGATACACAGTACTGTCAATGAATCCTGAAGCTTTGTGTGTGTGTGTGTGTGTCTATTCATTATGTTGGTCCCAAAAAGACAATCAACGAGTCAAAAAGGTTTTCAGGGATAAGGTTTCATTTTGTTCCTGGATCAAGTCTGAGGACACCAGAAACTCCACTGCGGTTAACTTTTCTTTTGGATTCAGAAAGTTTAGTCCACCCGTCAGAGGCAGCAGTGAAGTAGGACACTGTTGTTGTGCTGTGTCAGAGGAATGTTTACATCCAGCCAATCAGCTAATTCCGTGTATTGACACAAGTTAGAACCCTTCTTATAGTAACATGTGGTTTGCAGTAAAACAGGCTTTTGTGATGTATTTCTCTGGCAAATTATCAACTGGAACTGGAGTTCAGAGTTCAGAGGGGGTTTTGGATCAGTTTAAATAAAACCCACAGCTCTTTGGACTTTGTTTGCCCCCGTGGCGCTGTGCTTCACCCCTCTCCTTACCTCTGACGACAAGTTGGAGCAGCAGGAAGAACAGGAAGGAAGCAGGTGATGAAATGATAAATCACCTGTGTTTATAAGAAAGGACAGAAGGAGGCAGAGGCAAGACAAATGGAAAGCACTTAGCCATGGCAGTTATGGAACTGAAACGGTATTTTAATATGAAATGTATAAAAAGAAAGAATGAATATTAGGACCCCCACAGGATCAGAACACAGTGGAGATCTATAGGAAGAATCAAAAGTGTACACGCACACACTTGCTAATCATGTCATGTCCCTGGTTTGGTGTGAAGAGGAGGCGTCACGGCTCTCAGGGGAGTTCATTCTGCTTTGGTTTAAGGAAGGAAAGGTTGATTAAGTCCACAAACATGATCAAAGTTTGAGATGTTGTATTTCACATCTCCGTAACTATAGAAGTAGTTTCTGCTGCAGAAACGTGCTGAGCAAAATGCATTTAGTCATTAATGAAGACTTTGAGTTACAGATGGAAATTTTGTTGATTTCATAACGGCTAACTCTTAGAAAGGTTGTGCTAGCTGACTGTGTTGAAGTAGCCACAGTGTCATCTCGGTGATACTCTTTGTTTCAGGGAGCAGTTAGGCCTTTTTGTAACCTGTGTCTGGCCTCAGGCTTCCTTCTGTTTGTTTGTGCAATATTCACATGTACAACAGTTGCATGTAGAAATAGACACGTTGGTGAAGGAGTATGGGATGAATGGACTTTTTACTAGACTGTGTATTGTTAATGCAATAGAAGTTATGTTCCCAGTTAATATCAAAGTTTTTGTGCTTCCTTTCTCGTCCAGTTATCCCCAAACCTCACACCGCCACAGAGCGAGCGTCTGCAGTTACTGACCTGGCTCCTGCAACCTCTGTCTCCAAACCATTAGCCAATCAGCAGCCAGCACTGGGGTCGAACGGGCGACCTGTCACTTCAAAGCTTCCTGTTAAGGGATTACCCACAAGCCCCAGTTCCTCATCACCGGGGAGCAGTGAGAACAATGGAGCCACAAGCAAAGGTGAGGTGGTGGAATGCGTATGTGCATGCACATGCATTAGTGCACTAGTCAAGCTCTCTTCCTAATACACACACACAGTGTCAAGAGAGGTGGTTTTCTTTGGTGTGGTTTCCCTCTCACTGCTGACTTAACTTCCCTCTTTTTCACTGTTGTTTCCACTGAGAGTCTGTCTCCTTCATACATACACACACACACACACACCATACAATCACTGCTAAGGGTGCCCTGACATTCATGAAGGTTTCTCTACAAACAGGCTGCTAGGACAGCCCCAGGGTGTCCATGTGAGTGAATGAGAGAGAGAGAGAGAGAGACTGTGTGTCTGTGTGTATGCACAGCAATGTTCACTTCCTCTGCAGGTCAAAGGGCACATCTGGTCAGGAGTCAGAATACAGTCGATCTGTGTGTGAGTGAATTGTTTGCAGCCCCATTCTTTAAAGGACAGATCCACCCTACAGTAACTAGTTACTGTTTAAAGCTGTGATGGATTTTGTGTTGTTTTGTCCTTTTTGTTGCTAATGCTCCACATAAAAAGCTAATAGCTGATGTCTGTTAGTGTGTCCAGCAGCAGCAGCTACAGAAGGGCCTGATAGCAGGAGAAGGTTGACTAAGTTATGGTGTGTCTACACAGAAAGCCTTTCAGCCGTGTGCTTCAGTCATCTCTCTCATGACAACACATACAGTATGCTTCTGTTTTCTTCAGTCCAACTGTCCACACAGGCAGCCACTGCATATACCCTTAAAGACAACACAGATCACAGTGATGGTTGGAGAGCTTTAGGTTGTTATGGCAACGAGAGTCAATTAGAGATTTCTGGTTCCCATGGTAATATTTAGGATCTGTATTTAGTCGAATCAGAGGAGCATCAGCATCGTACACCTCCACACACTGTCCTTTTAACAAACACAGGGATGAATCTCTGCCATAGAATGTGAAAGTTGTATTCACCTGTTGTCTTCTACCTCTGATGTGCTGCAGTGCTGATTCAAGAACCGAGAACAGACAGTTAAGACATTTTGATCAGAGTCCACATTTCTAATTATCATACCTTTCAGTGTTAAAGTTGTTTCCTCAGACAAACGAAACGCTTTCAGCTTGAGACACCTGACATAGCCCACACGCTTTCATGTTTGTGCTGTCAGTACAAATGGAGCGATCGCTACCTCAGGCAGATAACAGTGTTTATGTTTGGCAGCCATTAAAAGACTTCATAATCAGCATCTGAATCTAATCTGTGTGTTTTGATAGGTGGACATGTGTGACCATGTTCAGAACAACCAGGGGAGTATATTTAGTTTCTATTTCATATGAGGAGAG